GTCACTTGACTTGTGGTAGAATTTTCAATTTTCGTCGCGGAAATTTGCAGAGTTAGTCCTTTCTTTTCTCTCTGTCTCGTCATAGCGACTACCAATCTGACACCATGTTATGTTTGTTCCTTTAAATAATGACAAACCGGGTCGTTGGTTGAACTACTTTTAATAAACTGATACTTTAGCTAGCAATCTCCTTGTGTAGCCATGCAAAGCATTCTTCAACTTCCCCCCCTCGCATAGCCTGCTGGGTGACGTAGTCTTCATGTTATTAACACAAAACAACACACCTATAGGATGCTGTCAGTCAGTGTCTCGTGTTGAGTGCGACCTGTAATGTCCCTAAGAGTTTAGACCTGTGTGTTAAAGTCCTCTCATTTCCTTTTCAAGCCATTAATACCAATCTACTCTAGCCTCTATGAACAGGATGTAGTCAGGCCAGCTGCAAGTAGCACATCCCGCTAATGGACCAGACACATTGTGCACGCTGGAACGGTTCATCCCCATTTCTGGGAGGAACAGACAGAAAGAGACAGAGAGGGACTAACATCTCCCTTAAACAAAATGGCAGAGACTAAGAGAGAGAGAGAGAGAGAGAGAGCAACACAATTAGACCCAACCAAATCATGAGAAAACTAAAAGATAATTACTTGACACACAAACAGAGAGTACACAGTGGCAGAATACCTGACCACTGTGACTGACCCAAATTTAAGGAAAGCTTTGACTATGTGTAAACTCAGTGAGCATAGCCTTGCTATTGAGAAAGGCCGCCGTAGGCAGACCTGGCTCTCAAGAGAAGACAGGCTATGTGCACACTGCCCACAAAATGAGGTGGAAACTGAGCTGCACTTCCTAACCTCCTGCCAAATGTATGACCATATTAGAGACATATTTCTCTCAGATTACACAGACCCACAAATAATTTGAAAACAACCCAAATGTAATAAACTCCCTTATCTATTGGGTGAAATACCACAGTGTGCCATCACAGCAGCAAGATTTGTGACCTGTTGCCACAAGAAAAGTGCAACTGGTGAAGAACAAACACCATTGTAAATACAACCCATATTTATGTTTATTTATTTCCCCTTTTGTAGTTTAACTATTTGCACATAATATGACTTTGAAATGTCTTTATTCTTTTGGAACTTTTGTGAGTGTAATGTTTACTGTTAATTTTTTGTTTATTATCTATTACACTTGCTTTGGCAAGGTAAACATATGTTTCCCATGCCAATAAAGCCCTTAAATTGAAAATTGAATTGAGCTAAGGAGAGAGACCGAGAGAGAGAAAGAGAGAGAGAGGGAGAGAGAGAGAAGAGAGGAGAGAGAGAGAGAGAGAAGGAGGAGAGAGAGGGAGAGAGGAGAGAGAGGGAGAGAGGAGGAGAGAGAGAGAGAGAGGAGAGAGAGAGAGAGAGAGAGAGAGAGAGAGAGAATGGATATTGTGCACTGTACCAGCAGTCTTTGGCCCATGCAGAGAGGGCTTTAGCTCACTACCACAGCCAGTGTTATGTTCTGTCAGCCCACATTTCCACTCCACTAATGACCACAATAACAAAGTTATGAGCTCAGTTTCATACTTATACAAAATGTATAGCGCTACAATTTTAACAGGGACCACACCTCTGTGTCCCCTGTTCCTATGTCTCTACTTTTCTATCAGTCTATCATACACTAAAGGGATACTTCAGGATTTTGGCACTTCAGGATTTTGGCAATGAGGCCCTTTGTCTACTTCTCCAGAGTCAGATGAACTCATGGATACCATTTGTATGTCTCTGTGTCCAGTATGAAGGAAGTTAGAGGTAGTTTCGCGAGCCAATGCTTACTAGCATTAGCACAATGACTGGAAGTCTATGGGTATCTGCTAGCATGCGCTAGCGCTAGTTAGCAACTTCCTTTAAACTGCAAGCAGAGACAAACTCATTGGCAAAATCCTGAAGTATCCCTTTAACTCCTTCAACATAACTGGCTTCTGTGATGAGGTGAGTTGAGTTTACAGCAGGATATCATTACAAGTCAGTGTTTATTGGCCATAGAAAGGTATCAACATTGATACTTCTAAGTAATAACACCACACTGATAAAGTTAATTAACCAGGTAGTTTGTGTCCTGGATGCTGATTGGCTGAAACAACATTCCAGTCGTGTGTATTTTAGACAATATTCCGCAGGTATGACACAAGCATACTTGTTTACTGTTCTATTTATGTTGGTAACTGGTTTATAATAGCAATAAGGCACCTCAGGGGTTTGTGGGCTAAAAAGTAGAACTCTATCGTGAATATCTTCTCCTCAGCCACCCAGGCCATGGGGCACCCAGACCATCCTTCTGGTTCAGGGGCGCCCAAATACCTGGTTTGCACTAAGGCCATGACAGAGATGCACTTGCCAAATTCGCGTCCTGCCTAATGCTGCATTCATATTCATAACCAAGTGGGAAGTTGGTAATTTCCAGTAGTAAATACCAGTTGGATGCATGTGCTTTGAACTCGTTGAGAAACGCTGATTAGCTAATGGCAAACAAGCTGCGTCAATCACAAACTAAAATTACAGCTATCATGCTCACAAATTATAGTGTTCAAAAACCATAATTAATAGATTGCTTTTTATAAATAATGTTTTGTTGCATTTAATTCATAGGGTAACATTTTCCCCTTAATCATATCACAATCAACTTTTACCAATTGAATGTAGACACAAATATAAGACCTTTTTCCTATAACACATTTAAGGCAATACTTGAATTAAATATTCAAATTCAGGTTGATATCTCATTAATATGTGCAATATTTGCATATCGTGCAAATAATTTTTCTGGACACTGGTTAAGTTAGCCTAAATATTTTGGTTTAATTTTATAAGACACTCCAGGAGTGGACTGAACACAGCAGATTGTGGATAAATATATTTTGTAAAGGGTGGCACGTAGCTTAGTGGTTAAGAGCGTTGTGCCAGTAACCGAAGGTCGCTGTTCTAATCCCCGAGCCGATATGGTGAAAGAATCTGTCAGTGCCCTTAGCAAGAGCACTTAACCCTAATTGCTCTGGATAAGAGCGGCTGCTAAATGACTAAAATGTAAACTTTCTATCTGTATTTTTCCAAAGAAAATGTTATTTACAATAAACTATTTACAACATATTAACAATTCCCTCTGGGCAAGTCTGGAGAATATATCTAAGGATAACCCCAAAAAAAATTATGAATGCAGAATGCTTCTGAAGCTAAAAAAAAGAGGAAATGAGTTGGCATGTGGGAAGAGTCTGACTTTCGGGAAATGTCAGTTAAAGACAAGTACACTGAATTTAGACTACCAAACGCCAAACGCCTATTTAGATCTCTTCAAAGTTACTAAATATAGTCCAGTTTGTAACACTCTCTATGAAATGGGATTTTAAATGTCTCTATGAAATGGGATTTTGAATGATGTGTAATTTAATGTAGTGAGATTTGAAATTATTGAGGTAAATCCATTTTAAAGTGGTTAAAATTCATTAAAATGTTGAGGGACCAAAATAATATTACTGGATCAAAATACCAACAAATCTCCAAATGGATAAGTAGATGCAAAAATGTCATTTCAACCTGTGGTGCCTGGCTTTAACTGCCGAAAATGATGTTATTGAGGGCATTTCCTTAGTGGGTTACGTCAGAATTCAGCATGTGGGAGAAGTCGGAGCTGTGGTAGGTGGTGTGGTATATATCGGAGGTGTGGTATATGGCGGCTAATATACCATGGCTAAGGGCTGCACAACGCAACGTGGAGTGCCTGGATACAGCCCTTAGCCATATATTGGCCATATACCACAAACCCTGAGGTGCCTTTTTTTTACGCCCTTTTTCTCCCCGATTTCGTGATTACGATCATGTCTCATCGCTGTAACTCCCCAACGGGCTCAGGAGAGGCGAAGGTGGAGTCATTCATCCTCCGAAACATGACCTGACAAGCCGCGGTTCTTAACACCCGCTTGCTTAACCCGGTAGCCAGCTGCATCAATGTGTCAGAGGAAACACTTTTCAACTGGCGACCGAGGTCAGCCTGCAGGCATCCGGCCTGCCACAAGGAGTCACTAGAGCGATGAGCCAAGGAAAGCCCCGCCTGGCCAAACCCTCCCCTAACCCAGACAATGCTGGGCAAATTGTGCGCCGCCCTATGGGACTCCTGGTCACAGCCCGGTGCCTTATTTCTATTATAAACGTATTTCTATTATAAACTGGATACCAACATAATAAGAACAGTAAACAAGTAATTTTGCGTCCAGAACTAATCCAGAGCTGACTGTAGCAGGCTAGTAGAGGCTCCTAAATCATGGGTGATGTGTTCTGTCTGGGAATATTTGGGATTGGGAATAATAGCTTCGTATAATCAAGGAATTAATCAACTCACTATCACTATCGCTCTCTCAAATATGATTGTAGTAAGATATACTACCTTCTGCTGTAAGAATACAGTATTTGCATCGCAGCTTGTTGGATACATGATGAACATTTGGGATCTGTTGATTGCTAAAAATATATATATATATAATACATGTTTTTACGTTCTGGAATGTTCAATTGAACGGAAACGGTGCTGTACTGAACGACCAGTTGAAAAACGGGGAGGGGTTGGGTTATGGGTTGGGAACGCTGTCAGCATGGCCACTGGCCTTTAAATACGTCACTCCTTGCTTCAAGCAACACCTCGCCAGTCCGCCACAACCACCAAACGGGAGCAAACGTATCTCAAAGTCTGTTCAATAACATTTTGGGGAAACGTGTCATTCAGTGCAAACCGTTCCGCAACGTAGCAAACGTTCAAGCGAACTGAATGCACCTCAGGCATTGTGATATCTGACATGTCTGCAATCAGTCAGCCTGGAACCAGGCCATTCACTGCACACACTGACACCTGAATTTAGCAATTAATTCGGCACAGGTGCTACCTGGGTCAATTAACCTCAGTGCCCTTACAGAGGCTACAAGAGCAGTTGGCGTGCGGTGCAGTGTCCTTTTGATTGATAGTGTGCAACCGAATAGACGACTGTTTTCAGGAGACAATGAACGGGGTACCCCACAAACAGGACTCGGGTCATCGACAACAGCTCTTCAACTGCAACCATGCTGATTATAGGGCAACGTTCACACGAGAGTGGCGTTTGAAAGAGCACGAGACCGTGCACACGGGAGAGGTAAATATGATCTGGGGACATGGCTGATATTTGCGTGATATTCGAATTCAATTATGGTTCATGTGGCTGTAACCTCATTATCGGGCTAATTGAGTTAATGTGAAAAATGTGCGGTAGTGCGTAGACTAATTCTGCCATAAATGTGGCGCGATAGTTCGAATGGCAACGTTATTTCAGAAATTTGAGCCTCATGGTTGGAGTCAAATATTACGATGGTGTAAACTATCATTTATAACCCTATTTGTTGTTTCTCAGCAACCTCTTCAATGTAAAGTGGCAGTCGTTTCTCACGGAATTCTCACATGCGCCGCCACGCACTTGGCTACACCGGGGTGAAAAAATTCAGGTAGGTTAATACTTTCAGTTTACGTTTCATTGCAAACCCATGGGTTAGGCTATAGTTTGAAAAACTTGCTATAGTTTGAACAACTTAACTAACGCTAGTGTTATTTGTCACTCAACAGATGTACCTTTGTGAGTTGCACAAATACTTTCTTCAACGCGGCCAAGTTGAAGAGACACGTCCATTATGCCCACGGAGAAAAGGACACGTACTTTAAGGTTATAGTCCACTAGATGGAGCCAAATAACCACGTTGCAATTTGGACATTGCCCACTTTCTGCATCCTCTCTAGTCCCTTTTTAATCGGACCCCCTTGGCCCTGTCATGTGTACTTTATGAAATGGGTTCTTGCAATTAATTTGTAGAAACCCTTTCCCTTTATTTACCGTTATCTTAATGTGCTGAATGTTATTTTTACCTGCTTAAATGTCCCCATGTGCAGTGCAATTTCCCAAATTGCTCATTGACATTCAAGAAACGGAGGGTGTATAAATTACATTTGAAGGCGCATGGAACATCTTCTAATTTCAAGTAAGTCACAATCTTTAAATGTCCTTACATCCTTTGAATACTGCCAAAGGCCTAAGCTGATGCACAAGTTGAGGAAGTATACTCTATTTAAAATGCAAATGTATGCATGTCTCAGTAGGTTAATGGTTAAATGATTCTGTCCCTGGTTTTCTCAGATGTTCAAAGAGAGGATGTGGAGTCACGTTTGACACCCATGTCGCTCGCAAAGCCCATGAGAAGAAACATGCAGGTTTGTCCCTTTTGACTGTTTGTCGGTCTTCTATTGCTGTACTGTCTTGCATCAATCAATTCAAATAAATCTTGCAATCATTTTGTATTACAACTATCAAAGGGGTAGTAGGAGTTTTATTTATTCATTTTACTCTTAACTTAAAACTGCCCATGCATATCTCACACACTCTGCAGGGTACCGCTGCTCACAGCCTGAATGCAATCATTTTGAGCAAACTTGGGGGAAAATGCACAAGCACATGGCGAAACACCAGGGTAAGCACCACCAAACACCCTTAACTGGCGCTGTTACTGAATGTGATGAGAAGTACTAATTATTGTACCAGTCAGGGCCAACCTGCCTTTCCTCTCACAGGAAAACACTGTTCGAATGTCATTGTTTTCACATTTAGGGTGATTCTGATTTTTAGTCATCAGCCTTCTACCACTTCTGTAAATATCCTGCCTTGTACCCTGCTAGTTGTAGTGACAGTATTTGAGAAATGGCTTATAATGAGTTAGCTGATTAGTAATGCAGTTAAGGGGACGTTTATTTTATTGGGGACCTTTTTTAGTTTCAAGAAACATTCATACTCTGCCACCAGCTGCCTGCTCATAACCTCTGTTTTGGCTAATGGACAACTTGTTGGGCAGGAATCCCGTAGTAACATTTGCCTCTCCTGTCCCTGCAGCCACATTCACCTGTAAACTGTGCCAGAAGGTGTTTAAGCATGTGGACTCTCTGCGTAGACACAAACGGACCCATGCCCTGCAGAAGCCTGTCCTGCTGTGCCCCAGCAGCGGCTGTAAGGCCTAATTCTCCACTACCTTCAACCTGCAGCACCACATCCGCAAGACCCACCTGCAGCTCCTCAAGTACCATTGTTACTTCCCCGACTGCCCTAGGACATTTGCCATGCGGGTATGCACTGTACCCCTTGTGGTCCTGTGTTCAGTAGGAGTAAGAATGGTGATCTAGGATCAGGTCCTCCTGTTCAATATGATCTAAAAGGTGAAACTTATCCTATATCAACACTACTGAGACTTTCACTCTTTTTGAATAAGGGCCCTGGTTATAAAAATTCCTGTGCTCTGCTGGTTAAGGGTCCTGTCTCTATCTGCCCAGATACGTTTATGCAGTTAAATGGTAAATACTCCAACTTTCCAGAGGGCATTGTTTTAGTCATTCAAGGCCCTAGGTATAGTGAAATTGTTTGCCATTGTCCTAGGCATAGCACAGGTGTAGCCTAGAGTGCTTTCAATTTATTCTGTATTTGTTTAGACCAGGGATGGACAACTCCAGTCCCCGGGGGGGGGGGGGGGGGGGCTGATTGGTGTCACACTTTTGCCTGAGCTAACACACCAGACTCCAACTAGTTATGACCTTCAGTTTAGAATGTAATTAGTTAATCAGCGGTTTGCTAGGATGGGGGAAAAGTGACCACTCTGGCCGCTGAGGACTGGAGTTGCCCATCCCTGATTTAGGCAGTCTCGTTTTATCTGAACACACTTGTAGCATTCTGCCCTAAGCTGCCACTGAACTCTCCTCTTCAGCCTGCTCTTTCTGACGTCCATTTGTCAGCGGTCTTACTAAGAACACGCGTCCTTAACTGTCTAGTCTTCTACACTGTGGTGACGACGTGCAGTTGGGTTTCAATCACTGCATGCAAAGCAGCATCATGAATTTCTAAGCAGTTACTGAATGTCTTGTCATTGAACTACTAGTGTCTGATTTTTCCATCACCTCCCTGTGGACCGAATGGAATTTGAATTCCAAGATAAACGTGTCCATGTAGTGGATGGAGATGTTTGCCATTGTGGCACTGGTACTGTATGAATGTTTAGAATAGATGGATGTTCATAGTTTGCTGGTGTCATAATGTTTATACTCCATCGTTGTCATGACTAACATCTCTGTTCAATCTCACAGGAGAGCCTGAGCCGACACCTGGCTCACCACGACCCAGAGGCCAGCCCTGAGAAGGTAAGCATGGTTTTATAGTCAGTCTATCCCCTGTGGGTAAGATGACGTGGGCTTGAGCCAACAGTGGAGCTACTGTTTGTGGTGTGCCAAGTGTCTGGCTCTGGCCAGGTGACCATTGATCTGTATGTGTACCCTGAACCATGTCTTTGAACCAGTTGAAAGCAGAGTCCCTTAGATGTCTGGCAGAGTTAAGGGAATCTATAGTAGCTTTGGGGCTCAAGGGAGGGGTGGCGTTTACTCACACAATGTCGGTCTTGTCTCAATTTGTCCAGCTCTGGAGCTCCTACAGGAACTGAAGTCCTAATACACAGGCTTCCTGTCTAGTGGGCATTTAAAAAAAAAGTTAATGACCCTTCTGAACAGTTGTGGGGAATTGTTCCACTAGACATTTTATACCTCAGAACTACATTTTCCTTTGTCGCATCTTGTGTTTTTCTCTGTAGCAGAAGCGCAAGCGGAATAAGAAGGCCTGGCAGAAGCGTCTGGAAGGCCACCACCAGCTGCCACTGGTGGAGGACGACCTGCAGCACCTCTTCGCCTTGCGCATGAGGGTGTCACGACGGGCGACGGTGGAGGCTGGCCTCTTCAACGAGCGCAAGATTCCCCACTTTGTGGACTCGGAGGTCAACCTGCGTGACCTATTCAGCATCAAGCCCCCTCACTCCCTCCGCCCTGCAGAGCAAGGCCCTGTGGAGGTCACCCAGCCAGAGGTCACTGATCAAGGGTTAAAGGTCAAAGCAAAGGATCAACTTGTAGCCTGAAGGTGCCATACAAAGTATAGATGTCTGACAGTACCATATTGAAGTAGTTGTAAATACTAGTAAAGTACCATTGCTCTCTTAGTTGATTTAAACCGTTTGAGTTTTTGAATAAATTAATATTTTATGGTACAGCTAAAGCTATTGGTCTTATTGATTTCCTGTATAAAAGCACTTGAGTTTTGTTTATCTGCCTGACCAGAGCTGACCCAATAAAATATTCATTTGAAGGCAAGTCATTGGTTCTCTTAATGTTTAGGGCAGGGGATGATGGGACTGTGCCACCTAGTTTCTCCAACTAAATCAGTGATAACCTGTCAGGGTGATCAATTATAGTCCCCTGTAGCTCAGTTGGTAGAGCATGGTGCCTGCAACGCCAGGGTTGTGGGTTTGTTTCCCACGGGGGGCCAGTATGAAAATGTATGCACTCACTAAGTCGCTCTGGATAAGAGCATCTGCTAAATGACTAAAATGTAAAAATTACCCTGCATCAGTCCTTAGTGTAAACACTGGTTGAGTCCTGCGTCTCAATAGATTAAAGGGAGGTAATGACTCAGTTGCATTTTAATGATGCCAAGGAATGCAACTTGAACCAGTCAAGAACAGCAGAAGCCATTTTGTGTAACGTCAAAGTTTAGACCTAATGCCATAACAGGTGTGCAGGTTGACTCTCATTGAAGCTAACTTTCCTTTGAGCCCATTTAAATATGAACAAAAGAACTGACCTAGGAGTAACAAGTCCCCCAACTTTAATTCTTCAAAGCACAGGGCTCTGCTTGGGCACCAGGTCCATGTCCCTAGATGACTCCTTTAATCCAAACCACCAGGAGAGGGTAGAGGGGGAGAGCTGAGAACTATGGAAGCGTAAAATCGTCAGCTTTACAATTGATGTGCCTCTTGAAAGACTGCAGATTAATTGAACTGTGAAGTCTGACCAGTGACCGATTTGTATTAGACATTTCTTCCATCAATCTCCGCCACTTAAACTGAATTGCTGTAATATGGCTAGCTTTCCACTGTTAATGACCAGTCTCTGCTGTAGTATTGCTTCCAACAGAGCGCTCTCCCTGTCATGATTAAAGCACTTAGTTTGTTCCACCTGAACTTGTCCAATAAAGCTACAGTGCCTTGCAAAAGTATTCATCCCCATTAGTGTTTTTCCTATTTTGTTGCATTACAACCTGTCATTTAAATGGATTTTTATTTGGATTTAATGGAATGGACATACAAAAAATAGTCCAAATTGGTGAAATGAAAATAACTAGTTGAAAAAATTGTTTACAGAACTCATGCACATATGTATTCACCCCCTTTGCTATGAAGCCCCTTAAATAAGATCTGGTGCAACCAATTACCTTCAGAAGTCACATTAGTTAGATTGCACACAGGTGGACTTTATTTAAGTGTCACATCTCAGTGTATATATACACCTGTTCTGAAAGGCCCCAGAGTCTGCAACACCTCTAAGCAAGGGGCACCAAGGAGCTCTCCAAACAGGTCAGGGTTGTGTTATAAAAAAATATCTGAAACTTTGAACATCCCACGGAGCACCATTAAATCCATTATAAATTTTTTTAAAGAATATGGCACCACAACAAACCTGCCAAGAGCGGGCCGCCCACCAAAACTCACGGACCAGGCAAGGAGGGCATTAATCAGAGGCAACAAAGAGACCAAAGATAACCCTGAACGAGCTGCAAAGCTCTACAGTGGAAATTGGAGTATCTGTCCATAGGACCACTTTAAGCCGTACACTCCACAGAGCTGGGCTTTATGAAATAGTGGCCAGAAAAAAGCCATTGCTTAATGAAAAAAATAAGCAAACACGTTTGGTGTTCGCCAAAAGGCATGTGGGAGACTCCTCAAACATATGGAAGAAGGTACTCTGGTCAGATCAGACTAAAATTGAGCTTTTTGGCCATCAAGGAAAACGCTATGTCTGGCGCAAACCCAACAACTCTCATCACCCCGAGAACACCATCCCCACAGTGAAGCATGGTGGTGGCAGCATCATGCTGTGGGGATGTTTTTCATCGGCAGGGACTGGGAAACTGGTCAGAATTGAAGGAATGATGGATTGCGCTAACAAAAATATGAAGGCATTTCAAAGATTTTACAGTTCATATATGGAAATCTGTCAATTTAAATAACTGAATTAGGCCCTAATCTATGGATTTCAAATAACTGGGAATACAAATATGCATCTTCACAGAGCTTAGAAAAAAATCTGGTCACTATCTCTGCATTCAAATTGCTATCGATAAAATGCAATTGTGTTGTCTGTATTTTATGCCTGCCCATACCAGTGGAGGCTAGCTCATAATGGCTGGACGGAGTGAATGGAATGGCATCAAACACATGGAAACCATGTGTTTGATGTATTTGATACCAATCCACTCCAGCCATTTCCACGAGCCCATCCTCCCCAATTAAAGTGCCACCAACCTCCTGTGGCCCATATCATAACCCCACCGCTACCATGGGGCACTCTGTTCACAACGTTGACATCAACAAACAGCAAACCGCTTTGGCGGACATTTCTGCAGTCAGCATGCCAATTGCACACTCATTTACATTTTAGTCATTTAGCAGACGCTCTTATCCAGAGCGACTTACAGTTAGTGAGTGCATACATCATTTTTTTTTTTTCATACTGGCCCCCCATGGGAAACGAACCCACAACCCTGGCGTTGCAAACGCCATGCTCTACCAACTGAGCTACATCCCTGCCGGCCATTCCCTCCCCTACCCTGGGCCAATTGTGTGCCGCCCCATGGGTCTCCCGGTCACGGCCAGCTACGACAGAGCCTGGATTCGAACCAGGATCTCTAGTGGCAGAGCTAGCACTGCGATGCAGTCCCTTAGACCACTGCGCCACTCGGGAGAACACTCACTCAACTTGAGACATCTGTGGCATTGTGTTGTGTTATAAACCTGCACATTTTAGAGTGGCCTTTTATTGTTCCAGCACAAGATGCACCTGTGTAATGATCATGCTGTTTAAGCAGCTTCTTGATATGCAACACCTGTCAGGTGGATGAATTATCTTGTCAAAGTAGAAATGCTCACTAACAGGGATGTAAACAAATTTGTGCACAACATTTGAGGGAAATATGCTTTTTGTGCATTTGGAAAATCTCAGGGATCTTTTATTTCAGCTCATGTAACATGGGACCAACACAACATGTTTCGTTTATGTTTTTGTCCAGTGTAAATTTCATTTTCCATTTCGTAGCCACTGAACAATTTAGGGCTCTATTCAATCCACATCACGGAAGTTCAGTTTTACAGCAAGATTTTAATTTAAAGGTGGAGACTGCATTCACGGTAAACACTGCATATGTCGGCTCAATCGGAAATAACCTACATTTCTATCGCGGAATCTTTAACACTTCAGCTTTACAGATTGAATAGAGCCCTTAAGAGTCACTTGAATCACTTTTTACCCTATCAACTCACCAGTAAATGGACTGAGTGCAGAAAGACTAACTTGTAACCATACACCTACAGTGTACACAAAATAGTACACATTAGGTGTTCAATACATAAGAATGGTTTGCACGCAGATCCTCTTTCACACACTGGTGTTCGATCATATTCCAAGGTGTCTAGTTGTCCAAGGCCTGTGTTGTAGTGTACCATCATATTCCAAGGTGTCTAGTTGTCCAAGGCCTGTGTTGTGGCTGTAATATGTCTGGGTCCAGTTTGACATTTCAAAGCCTTTACTAAGCCCCCTTCCAGCCTGTCAGTGGAGCTCTATTGGTGTCATTACTTTTGATGTGTTTTTCTTCTGTTGTGGTGCTCATTCTCCAGGGCTCCTCCTGCCGCCTCAGGCCATGGCAGCTCTTAATCCTTCACATAAACCTGGCCTATATGTCTGCTGCTCTGCTGGCTAACACCCCACACCATTCATTTTATTTCATTTTAGTCATTTAGCAGACGCTCTTATCCAGAGCGACTTACAGTTAGAGTGCATACATTTTTTCATACTGGCCCCCCGTGGGAATCGAACCCACAACCCTGGCATTGCAAGTGCCATGCATACCAACTGAGCTACACAGGGCCATGTGGTTGTCTAGTGGCTCTGGATCCTGGATGGTGCTCACATTGTTCAGCTGTATTCCTGTTATAACAAACAGACAAACGCTCCTTGACTCACTCACTCACTCTCTCTCTCTCTCTCTCTCTCTCTCTCTCTCTCTCTCTCTCTCTCTCTCTCTCTCTCTCTCTCTCCCCCTGTCTCCTCATTTACTTCCGCCAAGGTCATAGCAAGGACAGTAACTTGTCAATCTCTCCTCCTCTTTCCTCTCCTTCTCTCACATCTTACACTACACTGTCACGGCCTTGTCTCTGCCCATATCTCTCCTTGCTTATGTTGCCAATATTTCTCTACTTGCACTTTTGTTTTCTCTGTTTGTGTCTCCCTCTTCCATTCCTCCTGTGCCAGAGTTTATCTTCACAGTTCCCCCCTCAGTCTGCATCCAGTTGACTTGTTCTCCTTCCTGCCCCCCAACTTTTCATCCCCCTCTCATTGAAGTACTGTCAAATGCTTCATGAATCCATGTAAAAGGGCACATACATTGGAAGCTCCTTCCTGGCCCAACTTGTCATATATCCGGCTCTAGTATGCAAGATACGTATAAGCTGTTTGAGATACACTGAACAGGTAATATCTATTCTCTCTCTCTCTCTCTCTTCTCTCTCTCTCTCTGCTCTCTATCTCTCTCCTCTCCTCTCTCTGCCTCTCTCTCTCTCTCCCTCTCTCTCTCTCTCTCCTCTCTCCTTCTGCCTCTCTCTCCCTCTCTCTCTCTGTTCTCTCTCTGGTTAAGTACTCTGCGCTTTCTATGCCTCTTGTTTTTATGTAGGCAAGCGTTTATACTTACTTGCTTTGCTGTTTGGTGCTTTGAATGCAAATGTGTTTTCTCCCACATGTCCCTTTTTTCGCTAAAGTTAATTTTACAAACAGATTA